AGACTTAAAAAAGAAGTGTTCTGATCAGATTTCAGTTTCATGTCTCTTAATTTCTCCTATCATTTTTCAGGAAGATGACAATGTTTTGTCCCCATTGTACTTAAAGGGTGGCTCAAATAGATTGCCAGTAAGAAAATCCTGCGTAGGGGCACCTGGGTGGCTCAGTCGGTTGAGCGTCCAATGTCGGCCTAGGCCATGATCTCGCCATTCCCGAGTTCGAGCCCTGCATTGGGCTCTTGCTGACAGCGCAGAGCCTGGAGTCTGCTTCGGCTTCTGTGTCTCCCTCTTTCTCTCTGTCCCTCCCCCGCTTGTGCTCTGTCTCTGTCTCTCAAAAACAAACAAACATTAAAAAAAAAATCCTGTGTGAAGAAAACGGGCTGGCCCGTGTAGCCCACAGAAGTTGTGTATCGTAATATAATAAAAATGAAACAAGTCCAAGAGTTTCCTTATCTTTAATCCTTCTACCAGTGCTCTCATGGTAGATGTTAGTTCCCCTCTGTAGGCTTCACCTTTATAGCTGACTTTGTGTTGTTTGAGCCAGGATTCTTTTTGAAGTGCTCCTTGTCTGGTGGGAGAGAAAAGATCTGGCTTTTAGTTCCCATAGAGGCTGTCCTGAGGCAGTGAATCCCTCTCTTCCCCTCTCTCTTTCCCCTTGTTCTTTCCCTTCACTTCCTTTCCAAGACGAGAGAAAGTTCGAGGGCTGCTGGAGCTGAAGAGCTCATTCTCACTCAGAGTGTCCTAATAGGACAGGCATCAGAATACTTTTTTGTCCAAAGGGCAGGTGATTGCAGCACTGAGGACATCTTAAATACAAGAGCAGAAATCCAGGGGCCGGGGGCAGCCAAGGACATTTATATTTGAGTTCCCACGCCCCAAATACGTCACTGTGATGCCCCCGCCCAAAAGATCACATCACATAGAATAATTTTTTTTTTTTGCCAACCCTGTTTATTTAGGCTTTTTGCGGTGATTATCTCGTCAGGATTTTGCTTGGGAATTACATTATAGATGAAAGAGACTGCAGAATTTCCATGTGAACACGACCGTGTCAGTGGTAAATCAATTACAGAGATTTTCTGGGGAAAAAGAGCCACCCTTCTTTGGGATCTTGGCTCCTTTATGCGATTAGCTTGTAGGGAACAGAATTGGATAAAGCAGGTCGGACATTACAGGTGGGGGTGTTAAAGGAGTGTCAGATTGGCTCCCCTTCAACAGCAAACAACATTGAAGGCGTGATCTCAGATTGTAGAGTTCACGGTTCTGATTTCTTCATTCTTCTATACACACATTTCGAGATGACACATTTAGAGATTTTTCCAAATTTCTGTTTTGATCTGTGAAACTGCTTTGTTTAAATATGAGAACATAGACTTTTGATATTTTTGGACTTTTGGGTCTTCAGTCATATGAAATGAAAACGAAAGAATTTTTTTTTAAGTCCATATACTCAGTACAATTTTCCTTAAGGTTTTTGGTAAAAGTTAAACTCATTTTAAAATGTGTTTTGAGGGGCGCCTGGGTGGCTCAGTCGGTTAAGCGTCAGACTTCGGCTCAGGTCGTGATCTCTCAGTCCGTGAGTTCGAGCCCTGCGTCGGGCTCTGTGCTGACAGCTCAGAGCCTGGAGCCTGTTTCAGATTCTGTGTCTCCCTCTCTCTGACCCTCCCCTGTTCATGCTCTGTCTCTCTCTGTCTCAAAAATAAATAAATGTTTAAAAAAAATGTGTTTTGAGAAGTTTCCCATGTTTTGAAATAACTGTATAAAAACATCTTTAAGCTGAATGATATTGTAAGTTGATCTCTTTCCAATTTACAGCGAGGTAACAAAGACTAAAAACAGAGGTGACTGGAGAATTCAAATGAGTAGGAACGAAGACACACGGAGACCTAAATGAAGCAAATGGAGGAGGCTCAGTCCTAACCACTCAGTTCATTTCTGAACACATGCAGCTTTGGTGTGTCCAACCGTATTTTCATCCCTGGCGGTTTGACATTTACCCCCCCCCCCCCCCCCCAAAAATCTGTGCTTGCTCTTAAAGTAGCTATAAAATATGCACTTTATTTAGAATACTAGAGAGAATTGAGCAGGACAAAAGAGCTGGGAAAAATAGGGCCAGTGCCCCCCAAAAAAGTCAGCATCACAATTAAAAAGCCAGGGAGATGTGAACATTTGTGAACAGCAAACTAAGCTTTTCTATTTGGCTTGGGCAGTTTTTCATTAGAAATCCTCATTCGGTTTTAACACCAACAGTTAGACAAAACTTAGAGTCCAGTAAAGAGAACAAATAATTGAGAGTCACTCTGCTAGGAACAAAACGGTACAATCCCCAAACATCGAACTGGGGACAGTGTAACTTAAGAGACCCCCAGCGACAATCCCAGGCCCGGAAGCTGCTGTTACGGAGCATCATGACTGTGATGCAGGCAGCACGTTGTGAGGACCCGGACGGCCCCGTGCCCTGGGGCACAGCGCACTGTCCTATGTTTATGTACGGGAAGTCCAGTTAATTCATCGGCAAGGTCTGCCCTGAACGGCCAAAGTGAAGAACAAATAGAAATACGCATCTCCGCGTTTGGGTTGCGGAAAAATATGATAAAGGACAACATGAAACAGCCCTCAGTGACTGAGGAGGGCTGGGAAGTGTGAAAGCGAATCATGGAGCCGAATCACAGATTATGAAAAGTCAGGAGGAGAAAGATGAAGACATTCTGTTATTTTCCTGTGGAAGAGAACAAACCTGATACTCGAGTGACTGGCATTCAAGCTTCTGGAAGGATGGAGACTGGCTGTTGTCTGCTTGTAGAGACGGGAGGAAAGAAGCTCTGAGTTTTCTGGAAGGTGGCTCAGATGGGCCTTTTCTCAGGAAGAGACGTGAGACACACGAACATGTTTGAGCAGCAAATCGTGGACAAGCTTCTCTCTAAAATTATTTTGAAATCATCTTAGATGCAGAATGCCTTCAGTCAGATACTCACAGTTAAGGTGACTTTCAAAAGTCCCATTCAGTCCATCTGACAATACAAATATTTTGTAGACCCCGATTCTCCTTCTCTAATTCCTAATTTCCCCCTTTGCAAGATAAGGTTGATAGGATTAAATCCAGGTAATACAGGAACAGCTCAGTAAATAATAGCAACTTATGATGATTAGGTTAAATGGTTGTTTAAAGTCACAAGAATAAAATACAATTTAGGAAAGGGATATCATACACGTGGATATGGACATCTTTTCTCAAGTCTTTCAACACCATAGCAATACTAAATCGTGTTTTAATTTCTTCACATATAAAAGATGTGCTGAAAGATGCACGCCTCAGCAGTTTTTATTGTGTCGCGTATGGCTACAGGTGATGTCCTTCTCTGGACTAGGACACTGCACGGCATCACACAGAGAGCGCCCAGGGCCTCAGGTCACTCGTGCTGTCCTTTCTCTAACCTGCCCTGGAGGGGAGATTGAAATCTTTGCTCAATTCTTAATATTCAACAAAATGCTTGGACCTCTCAGGACATAAAAGTAACCGATTTCTTTGTTTTTCTAGAACTGACTTGCCATTTCTTAATCGGTTCGTTATATTTCTGACCCAAATTAAGCCCTTTGCCAAAGGAACGACTTACCCCAGGTTCAGTCTGAAAATAAAGTGTTCTACAATGTGTTCAAGCATTTTAGAAGATTTGCCACTTACGAGAAAAAAGCCATACTACGTAAATGGTAACATCGTGTGAGTGTAGACAGGCACCACATTCCTCTCAAGGAGAATGATTTCTACAACATGTATAATCCCGGCATGAAGTGATGATGGGAATAATTTGCCTTTAAAAATCCTACAGACTGATTAACAGGGAAAAGATGCAAAGCCAGACGGCCAGTTTTCTGCAAAGACGAATTTGTGCAAGACGGCTCTATGCTGTGGGAATACGTAAGCCCGGCATTAGCTGATTGCACGTTACAGCGTCTGAAGCATTGAGTAAATAGTGGAGAAGAGTGGCTCGATCCCATTGGATGAAAGACCCTGCTGATCCTTAAACGTGGCATGTTTACAAAAGCTGCACCTGCAAATCCACTCAGCGTTCTGCTTTCCAGTTTGAATGCATCTTCCTCTTCCATCAACACAGACTAGTGTTGAAAACCGGCGACCACAGAAATAAAGCTGCTGTGTTCGGGACCAGCAAGCAGTGCTGAGGAGATTCAAGAAAGAACTAATTGTCCTCCTCCCGCTTCGCCCTCAGCTGAGTTTGTATTGACATGTTTGACCCGCCACCTCTTCTTCCACCAGGATTTCCCAGCTCCCTTCACGACCGTGTTATGGCTATTTGTCATCCAAAGTCGGGGTTTTCTCACCCAAAGGTAAGCCTGATGAGGCAGCCCCCTGAATGACATGATGTCAGAGGCCCTGGGATAAACTCACATTCACCTTCCCCGGGGCCTCCTTGACGTGTTCATGGGGCTCTAGCACAGATACTCCTGCCATAGGTAACGGCTCATTGAAGGTACAAACTCACTTGAGATCCACTCCTAGAGACAGGTTTTGAAGGGGAGAGGAGAAAGGAGAGCACGGGAAGCTTAGCGTGAGGAACAAGGGGGCCTCAGAACAAGAGGAAGCCGTGTATCAAGAGGCCCCGGGCTGCCAGGGGCCCGTGGTTGGCCTCCAGAAAGTAAAGGGTTAACGTCGCCATTCCCAGGCCACCCCTCGAATCGCTGAATTTTCTGCCGTGGCTAACTGCAAACTGCTATTTTCAGGGACAGCTTACGTAAGTCAGAATTCGATGTGTGAGTCTTTACTCAGACGGACTCCTCTCTAAATTTCAAAATATTTCACACACTTCCCAAAGAAAATCTTCCTACAATAAATAAAAACAAAGGTTTGGGGTTTTCAGAATTTTCTGGGGTTTCGGTATTTTTCTTAGCCCAGTTCAAACCAAAGAGGTTTCTAAATATCCGGAACCCAGTATATGTATGAATTAAAAGTGAAACATCCTCGCCCCCCAGCTACTTAAGTGACACTTTTATAGATACATCCCATTTATGAGGTAGTCAGATTCCTCAGACGTAATGGGACGAGCTTTTTTAAGTTTCTGTTTCACCAGGCGTAGTCGGCAAGCGACCATGAGAAGCAGCAGAGCCGTGATGGCCAAACCCAGGGCCAAGGGTAGCACTGCACCTGTGGAATGGTTAGAAACAAATAGGGCAGGTCACTGACTAGTAACAATAACCGCTGCAATTTACTGTATGATAAACACTTTACATACGCTATTTAATCTGAACAAGTCAATTAAGTAGGTACTCGAACCATCACCATTTTATAGATTAACTAAGGTACCCAGATTACATAATTGCTCTAAGAGCACACAGCTGGCAAATGGCAGGTCTAGTTCTCAAACCCAGACGTCTTTAAAACCAAATTCTGGGGCGCCTGGGTGGTTCAGTCAGTCAAGCGTCGGACTCTTGATTTTGGCTCAGGTCATGATCTCACGGTTCATGGGTTCGAGGTCTACATCGGGCTCTGCACTAGTGGTGCAGAGCTTGCTGGGGATTCTCTCTCTCTCTCTCCCTCTCTCTTTGCCCCTCCCCTGTGCACTCTCTCTCTTTCCGTCTCAAAAACAAATACGCTTTGGGGCGCCTGTGTTGCTCAGTCGGTTAAGCATCTGACTCTTGATTTTGGCTCAGGTCATGATCTCCTGGTTCATGAGTTCGAGCCCCTCATCAGGCTCGGCACTGACAACGTGCAGCCTGCTTGGGATCCTCTCTCTCCCTCTCTTTCTCTCAAAATAAATAAATAAACTTAAAAAAAAAAAAAAAAAGAAACTTATTTTCATTTCTAAATCCAGAGAACCTACTCTCAGCCAGTAGAAGCACCGCTGAGAGGGACCTTCAGAATATGGTGGCGTGATTCTCGCTAAGGGTAGTTGAAGAGAAAGTCTCTGCAGTTCTCCTTCACAGGCTTTACCCTGTGGGATCGGACGCAGACACCTAGACTAGAAGCAGCCTGTCCAGGCTTGCAGGAGTCGGGAAGGGACAGGGTGTGCCCCAGATCAGTCTTTCTTATCAAGCTCAGCAGCTCTATTCTTAGACCCGTCTACTCTGGAGTCCGGCCAGGCTTGGAGATGATATGGTGGAACCATTTTTAGCTGCAGGGGCCTTGCCAACTGGTGGAATTAGAGGAGTAAAAATGTCCATTGCAGAAGCTGATTCGGTAACGCTTCATTTCATTCACTTCTTCATTCCCTCAGTGTTAATTGGGAGCCATGCGCCTGACCCTGATTCAAGTGTGGGCGGTCAAAGACAATAAGCCAGTGCTGCAGAGTGCCAGCACCGCACTAGGTGCTTGGTGGTTTAAATCTAAACCTCACAACCACCACGAGTTGGTACTATTAGTATACCCATTTTACCAATGAAGGAACTAAGACAGCAAGAATTAAGTGACTAACAGATGTTGGCAAGGATGCACGGCATCCTTTTGCTCTGCTGGTGGGAATGCAAACTGGAGCAGCCACTCCGGAAAACAGTACGGAGGGTGCTCAAAAAGCTAAAAATAGAGCTACCCTGCGACCCAGCAATTGCACTACTAGGGATTTATCCACAGGATATAGGTGTGCTGTTTCGAAGGGACACGTGCACTCTAATGTCTGTAGCAGCGCCATTGACAATAGCCAAGGTATGGCAAGGGCCCAAATGTCCATCAACAGATGAACAAAAAAGATGTGGTATATATACACAATGGAGCATTACGCGGCAATCAAAAAGCATGAAAATCTTTCATTCTGTGGGTGGAACTAGAGAGTATTATGCTAAATGAAATTAGTCAGAGAAAGACAAACATCATGGGACTTCCTTAATATGGAACTGAAGATACAAAACAGATGAACATAGGGGAAGGGAAGCAAAAATAATATAAAAAGAGGGAGGGGGACAAAACATAAAAGACTTAAATATAGAGAACCAACTGAGGGTTGCTGGAGGGGTTGTGGGTGGGGGGATGGGCTAAATGGGGAAGGGGCGTTGAGGGAGACACTTGTTGGGATGAGCACTGGGTGTTCTACGTAGGGGATGAATCCCTGGAATCTACTCCTGAAACCATTATTGCACTATATGCTAACTAACTGGGAGATAAATTAAAAAATAAAAATAAATAAGAAAAAAATAAACATAAAAATAAAAAGAATTAAGTGACTAGTCTAAGTCTGTATGGTCAGGGGTGGAGCTAGGAGAGGGCCCCAGACAGCACAGCTCCAGAACCCCCGTGGTCCAGTGCTTCTCCAAAAGGGAAATGAGAGCATTATTGTTCATGACTTCCGGTCTGGGTGGACAAACATTTAAATGAAAAAATGCACTTAAGTGTAATTATTATGATGGAATTATACAGGAAGTGCACATGTGAAAGATGCAGTTCGTGCTTCTGGTTCGTAAGAGTTTTGCCTGCGTGTTTAAATGAATAATGGAGCTTGTTTGGGGTGGGTGGGGAGATATGTTCATTTTCTGACATTTTCAGATTGAGATGCCTATAGATGATCCAGGTCGAAATTTCTATTAGGTTTCTGGATTATCTGGCCTAAATATGTGAGAGTCTGTAGCGTCAAGGTGGTGACCGCAGCCACGGAAGTGAATGAGATCGCCAGAGAGAAAGGGAGAAGAAGGAGCGCCAGGAGCGAGTCGGTGAGGAAGCACCGGCGTTTAAGAGGGCAGACAGAAGAAGAGAAGCTAAGAGAACAGGAGACGGATCAGAGAGGTGGCAGGACGGCCAGGGGAGCCTTGGAAGCACAGGGAAGAGATTACTTCAAGGAAGGAAGCACTTGGCTGAACCAGATGCTAAGCAGAGGTCAAGCGGGGTGAAGCCCAGAGAGGCCAACGGACTTGGCAATCGGGAGTTCATTTACGCGGAGACTGAAGATGGAAGGGTGTTATTTCGTTTTTGTGTGTTGGGAGAGATCTGAAGGTGTCTGCAGCCGTTGGGGCAATGAGCCAGTAGAGAAACAGATGAAAAACATCAGAGAGTTAATCGATGATGGGGATAAGGGGCTGCTTCAAGATCAGGGGAGACTGACCGTGGAAAGAGGGGACACTCCTTCGCTTAGTACTGAAGGATAGGAAGGGAATGGGTGCAAACGGGCGACTATTCCCGTTCGGGGAGGGGTGGTGGAGGAGGACCGCTGTGCTTGTTCAGGGCAGGGGAAGCGTCAGAGGCTGCCCTTCTAAAGGTGTGTGATTCGTGTGAAGATGAACACCAGCGCTGAGGCCGCAGGGGGAGGGGGCTGTGGTTGGAGATGCCAGCCCCAGGGCCACAGTGCAGATGCCGCTGGGGTAACAACAGAGCAGACACACGATCTAGGGGAAACTTCTACTTGCCAAGTCAGACGTGTGGTGGCTGAACGTCGAACTGACTCCTGTTTAATGCTTTGATGACAAGGAAAATGAAATCCCCCATCACAAAAAACTGGCTACAATACTGAAAATTACTCTGGACTTTTCAATGCTTACTCGGCATGGTTTCTTCATTGTCTTTATCGTGGGTAATTTGAGATTTAAAATTTTCTAACCCCTAATAAAACACATCATGATATAATTTTCTCAGGAACCAGCGAAGGAGATGAATTGTTCATATGAGCTGGAGTGATGTTCATAACATAGAACAACTGGAATGGGCAGTGGCCAGTTAGAACGGAGGCTTTCTGCACACATCTAGGCAGGGGGCGGGGGCAGGGGCAGGCCTGGCTTCCCTTTATATGTCGATGGGGCACAGGGCACTTTTTATTGAGATATGTGGGGACAGGGGCAAGGCCAGCAGTCCAGCAGACGGAACAGCATCTAGGCACTTGATGTCTGGATTATTTTGGCCACTTGTTGGTTAGTGGTTACACGATAACGTGGTCCAGATTTTACAAAGAACACTCTAGGGTAAAAAAGTCTTCTCCGTGTTCAGGTCTATAATTTAAGAATCATATTTTATTCTCCTAAATCTTCTTTTACTGATTCGTTTGTGGGATTTAGGATTAAAACCTGCCTTTCTGAAGAACCGAGTCAAAAGTGTTCTCTTTCTAGTTAAAAGTGACCATAATTATGGAATTGTGGTATTCTTCTTTCACTCACTAAATATTCCCTCGACCTCCTACACTCTTTCCTCATTGTCTTTGGTCTTCATCCATCACTAGAGCAGCTGGAGAGAACTAGGTACTCTAGGATCTTTTTTTTTTTTTTTTTAATTTTTATTTAATTTATTTTTTTAATTTACATCCAAGTTAGTTAGCATATAGTGCAACAATGATTTCAGGAGTACATTCCTTAATGCCCCTTTCCCATTTAGCCCACAACCACTCCAATAATCCTCTGTTTGTTCTCCATATTTAAGAGTCTCATGTTTTTGTCCCCCTCCCTGTTTTTATATTATTTTTTGCTTCCCTTCCCTTATGTTCATCTGTTTTGTCTCTTAAAGTCCTCATATGAGTGAAGTCATAATACCCTCTAGTTCCATCCACGTAGTTGCAAATGGCAAGATTTCATCCTTTTTGATTGCCGAGTAATAACTCCATTGTATACATGTACCACATCTTCTTGATCCATTCATCCATCAATGGACATTTGGACCCTTCCATACTTTGGCTATTGTCGATAGTGCCATTATAAACATTGGGGTGCATGTGCCCCTTCAAAACACACACCTGTATCCCTTGGATAAATACCTAGTAGTGCAATTGCTGGGTCGTAGGGTAGTTCTATAAGATCTTTATAACTAACTCAAGCATAATAGCCATCGTTTACTTATTTATTATTTATTAGCCGAACCAGTGTGGCTATTTATTATCATTTATTTATGTATGAGTCACACACGTGTGCTAAACGGTTTATGTTAATTGTCCCATTTCTCCCCCAACAAGTCTGAGGCAGTGATAGTTGCCATTTCCATCTTACGACTGAGGAGAACTGGGATCCGGAGAGAGAAAATCGCCTGCCAAAGGTCATGGAGTTTAGTGACGGAGCAAGGGTCTGAACCTCGGCCTCAGATTCTAGGGCCATGAATATCTAGTTCTTAACTTCTAGGCTGTGAATATTACTTTTTCCATAGCATGTTACACCTGGAAAGAAATAGAGTGATCCTCTAGTCCAATCAACTGAGAAAAGAGGAAGCCTAGGTCCAAGGATGTGAGGTTACTAGTTCAAGAGCCCACAGATGCAGCCTGATAGAGGGAGAATACAACAGCTCTTCCGATCCACGGATTGGTCACTGCTCTTGTCCTAGACTCTTGCAGCTTCATCTGGTACCTTCCACTGGAGGATATGTGGTTCTACAAATGTCTGTACTCTGCAATGAATTTCCAAATTCCAGATTTACCTGTTTCTGGGGCTGGGTGTTCCCCTCCTCCTCGATCGCTCTTTGATTCAAAAATATAATGTTTTTCTTTTCTGTTCTTCCCTGAGGAACCACTATCTACAGAAAACAGAGAGAACATATGTCAAAGGTACATCAGAAACTTTAGGAAACAGACATGAAAATATAGCCTCATCTATTTTTCTTAGGATGGATTTAAAGAACTTGTAAAATTTATTACTCTTGTAAATGTAGGTCTGTGTTTGATATTAAAACACTAGGTAACTAACATGACCAGAGTATGGGACGAGAACAAAACCGCTGGACAGAGAAAGGGGAAAAGGCACCCAGCACTCTGGAGAAGGAAGGAAAGACGTCAGCTAGAAAAGTCACGGGTGATCTCTGCAATCCATACCATGAAAAGCAGAAACGTCCACAAAAGTTTTTCTTTAAAAAATGAAGAGTGAGCTTGCATAAGCCACTCAGACAAGTCGTTTGACTTTCTCACCTCAGCCCTACTTGGCAGGTATTCATTGCTCTTTGTTTTCCGCTTGGGTCAGAGACGCTTGGTACTTGCCCGGGTTCTTTTTGAGTAGTAAGCAGGTCACAGGGCTGGGATTTAAACTCAGGCGTGTCTAACTGCTTGTTGGTGGAAAACAGCATTTCTGGTGTAATGATATGTTGTTAATTATTTACTCTATCCAGTTGTATTACACTATTGAGAGTGACTAGTAAGAAAGATCAAACCTTAGGACTTTCATCCCAGGTCTGATAAGCCATGGCCGTACCACCGAATCATTTCCCATCCGGGAATTTACAGCATTTGTGTGCTTATTACATTGACAAGATGATGATTAAGCTAATGGAGTTGCCCTCGTGCTATGATGTGATCTCAAATGAGCTTGGGGATAATATAATCCTCAGTGACAGTAAATAGAAAGGATGAGCTGACATGAGGAATTCTACTGAGAAGCAAAAGCTTAAAGCTTCTTTACTCCTATGTCATCTACAGATCTGTTCGCAACACCTGCAACTGAAATAAGGCTACTTAAAGGTAGTATTTATAAAACTCTTCGGAATCTGTACTAAGTGATATGCCTGGATTTACTAAGGATCACAAAACTCAACAGGATGATGGAAAATTATAAAGTTATTGCAGGTACCTACTAGGGCCAGAAAGCCAGGACTTGAAGAGATGGTTGCAGTCACGTGCTTGTGCTGTTAAAGAGAAGGGACTGCAAATGCGTGTGTTTCATTAAGGCATCCTTCAAGTTCCTTTTCACTCAGCCCTGCAAGCCATCAGTAGCTGAATCACACAGACCATCTCCACAACACTCTGAAATATCCTCGACTACGGTGCCTCTTCTCTGTCCTCAACTGCCACAGCCTTAGGTCTGTGTCACCTTTCACTCAAGCACTCTGCGTGCAGACATTGCTACTGGAACACGTCTGCAAAGGCCCCTCATCCCCACTCGCTCGGCATATCAGTGCGAGGAGGTTAACCCACATTTGCTTCTCACGGCCAAGGCCACGGCAGGCTCCCTACCTTCTGCCGTGCTTTGTCACGTTACTCTAAAAGGCACCATACACGCCGCCTGCAGATAGCCAGTAACCTGGGCTGTCCTCCATAAACCGCGGGCCCAAAGAGAATGAGAGATGCGAGTAAGGCAGAAGCAATTTCTTGTGGGCCAGAGAATCAGAGTTACCTTGCAGGCTGATTGCTATCACTGTCCACTGGACTGTAGTGCTGGAAGCCCCCTCCCAACCAGAACGGCGAGGGGAGGGAACGGAAGAAGAGCAGGCAGTGGGAGACTGTAAGAGAGTGACCCTGGGGAGGCACCGGGCAGAGCCAGCAAGGGAACGGCTCTTAACTGTGGTGGGCCCGCCAGGTGTTGGGACTGCTCGGCTCACGGACAAAGGGATTGCTGCCTGGAGCTGGAGATCTTTCCCAGCAGGATGGGGACAGGGATACTGCATTGAAGCCATGGGGCTGCTGGGGCCCTGGGGCCATCGAGAGCCTGGGCTGTCCTCCACCTGGCAAGCTGATTCCAACACCTTTGGATTTTGTGGATCAATCCAAAATTCAAAATGATTCTTGGGGCCAAGTTAGGGTCAATTTTTTATTTTGCCAAATAAAGACAGTAAAAGAAATGGCCATTTAAGAAGGCCATTGCCGGGGGCGCCTGGGTGGCTCAGTCGGTTGAGCGTCCGACTTCGGCTCAGGTCATGATCTCACAGCTCGTGGGTTCGAGCCCCGCGTCGG